GTAGAGGGAACGCGCAGGGCTAATCGGCCTGAGAGCGCCATCGCTTCCACCCGCCCGGCTGCTGTTCTGCAAACCCCGCACTGCAGGACCTCACACGATCGCCAAAATAAATCCGGCCCCTGTCACCTATTCCTACAGCTGTTCGCACAGTCGCGCTCTTTGCGGTTTTATTTTCTTTTACAACAGTGCTGGTTGTAAAAGAGACTGACGGAGACTTTAGACTGTCTGCCCGAAGCTAGCGGGCGGTCAGAAAAAGGAATGCGTCATGGCAGCTGGGAAGCCCCGAAGAGCCAGGAGAGCCGGCCCGCGCTGGCCGAGGGAACGCATCCCTCGTCCCTCTGGCGCGGAGATGCGGCACGCATCCCGCAGCTGAGACCATGCCTTGCTTCCAGCCTTGCTGGAAGCCCCAGGCTGTAACACCCGCGGGGCCGTGCGTACCCACCAGGGGAAGGGTCCTGTCTGCCCGCTCGGGGCTCCCTGCGGCTGGGAGCCACTTTATGCACCGTTTGCTGTTTGTAGATGTTTACTCTGACGGGCTGGTTCTGCTAGCCCAGGGCAGAGGCCGTATTTATCCACGTGATACGGACGTGCATGCGGATACATGTTTGTTTTTGTAATTCTTCTATCTCATACTTACACATTTGTATTAATGCAGAAATACCTGATACCTATACACTTCTTCATAGGTACTCGTATTTATACACAAACACTTGAAATTGAGGTGTCTGCAGTTTTTAAACCAGATGTGGCAGGCAGGGGAGGTGCAAGGGGGTGATTACCTGAGGGAGTGGAAGAAGCAAGAATTCCAGAGGAGGCAGAAGGGACACTTGATGTGCCTCAGTGTGAAATCATGACTGATAAAAACTGTGCAAATGTTATGTACACAGCTCATCTCCTTACTCTGGGTGGCTAATGCCTATAGTCTTCTTGAGAGGCTCAGAAGTGTACCCAGTAGACAACCTGAATCCAGCCCTCAGTGACCCCTGCCACACCAACTCTGTCCCCCTTTTCACCACAGCTACTCTTGCCAGCAGCACCTTTGAGCACCTCTTGCTGCACATACTGCACCACAGAGTTCTGATTTCTCTCTGAACTACCAGGCTCCTCCTAAGATGAAAACCAGCAACTGACACTGCAATGCTGGGACATGCAGATTTACTTTTCTTCCAGTCTTTGTTTAGTGATTCATCACGGCTCTTGTCCTATTAATTGCTTCCTCACAAAGGTTCTAGCTGCTGGAGTCATATTTTTAAGTAGAAGCTTTCAGGTGGGGTTTTAATACTGTCTTTGAAGTGTAGTTACAGATATTTGACCTATAACATGACGATCTCCACTGGCTCTAAGCCATGAGGCATGCAGCAAGAATCCCCAAGAGTTATTTTGTAAAGCAGATCCATGCAAAGGCAGAATCCTGCTTTTGCAGGCCTGACTAAGGCTTTCAGAGTGCCCAGAGGCTGTGAGGACTGATGAGACTTCATGGCACAATGAGTGTGTAGTTCAGTAAATTTAATGGAGTGGTCGGAAATGGATCAGAAGCCTGGTACAGTTTATGGAGGGATTTGCTATGAACCCACTAGGTTTTGGTCTGGCCTGTAATTTTAAACTCAGTCATAATCTTGGCTTTCACATTTCCTTAGTTGGCAGACTCCTAAGTTGCTCTCATGAGGATACAACTTGTTTGTAACATTTCAGCTTCCTTCAACAGGCTTGACTTTGTCAGTTACTGTCCCTCAAGCCTTTAGAAGCAGTCCACAGATCCAACAACCCACAGGTTCAGACTGAAAATGCAGAAGCTAGTGCTTAGGGCAGTGGGATAGCTGTACTATCTGCTATCTGCCCCATGCCATGAGTAAGGTATTCTTGGACCAGCTCCATCCAGTGGCTGGCGTTAGAGAAGCTCTTTTTTTTTTCCTTGTCCTGCTATGCCACTCTGAGGAAATATGCTCCTATTGCAGGATCTGGCCTGTCTGTAACCAATGTTAAATAGCTGGCAAAGATGATACCAGCATAAACACTGGCAGGGGCACATTACATATTCATTCTGGAGGAAGCACAACCAAAAGAAACCCCAACTGTTGCTCAAACAGCTGAGCTAATAAACCAGATTTCTTAAAGATCTGTGTCTCAAGTGCCCTCTGTCCATGGAGAGCTGTTGGTATTTAACAAACTCGCAATGCAACTTTTCTCTCCATGGGTCAGGAACAGCAGCTTTTCTTTCTGCTCTGTCTCTTACGAAACAGGATTTACTGCCTTTGAGGTTTCTCTCATTCATATGTATACATTTTGTCTGATAGGTTTATAGTATACTTTGTGTTTCTTTTTATGCCCATCTTAGTTTTACCTCTCTTTTTTTTTTAGTGTTCTGCATTTTAGAACTTTTTTCTTTCACTTAGATATTGCTGGGTATCCTCTCTGTCTCTAGAGGTGTCCATTTCCTTTCTGTTCTATTCATAGTCCTGTTACCTAGAGTAGCTTTTCTGTAAATTGCTCTGGTCTTTACCCTCCATTATGATATTGCTATACTCTATATTGCTGTAACACCCAGAAGCAACAACCACGCTATCCACTCCGAAGAGTCACTGTAGAAACCTCCTGGAACAGGAACAAAAGAAGTCCCCAAGTGCACCATAAAAATAGGGCAGAAAAAAAAGGCAGAGGGACAAGGAAAGCACAGAGTTCAAGTGACTTTCCAAGGAGACAAAGCTGTCTGTGACAGAAGAACCACCTGCAGGCCCAGTTCTTCCTCGTCCTGGATCTTGTGTTTCAGTTTGCAGCCATGCATTTATACTCCCTCATTGTTGCTGTGGCACCATTCTTCTTTCCATAAAATCACTGTAAAACATGTGACACACACAACAGTCCTTTCAACTTGAGCGCCCCAGAATTAAAGACTTGAACCATTTCCACCACACATGGAATGACTTCCCACCTCCCTGAATATGCAGGACCAATCCAGCCCTTAGTACTGCACATGCTCTGCCTGTCTTTAATCCTCTCCACACTAAAGCATATCAGCATGCCCTGGATTATAAACCCGTAACGCTGGGCCAGCTGCTTTTCCTGACGACTGTCTTCTGTTCAGTTGTCCTGCTGACCAACATCACATCAGAGGATCACAGAATCAGTTAGGTTGGAGAAGACCTCTGAGATCATCCAGTCCAACTTGTGACCCCTGACACCGTCATGGCAACTAGACCGTGGCACCAAGTGCCACATCCAGCCTTTTCTTAAACACCTCCAGGGACGGTGACTCCACCACCTCCCCTGGGCAGCCCATTCCAATACCTAATCACCCTTTTTATGAAGAAATTTTTCCTAATGTCCAACCTAAACCTCCTCTGGTCCAGCTTGAGACTTGTCGCCTCTTGTCCTGTCGCTGGTAGCCTGGGAGAAAAGACCGACCCCCACCTCACTACACCCTCCTTTCAGGCAGCTGTAGAGAGCGATAAGGTCACCCCTGAGCCCCCTCTTCCCCAGGCTAAACGACCCCAGTTCCCGCTGGATCTGCTGCCCCCTCCAATTTCACCCCCTTGTTTAGAACGGCCTGTTTCAAATCCCCCTCTAGTTTCTCCTTTCACAGAGCCCAGATTCCTCTGCCTTGCCCTGCTGGGAAAGCCTGAACCCGAAACCGCGGCATTTCTGTTCTCCCTCCCTTACGGAAGCTCCCGGTGTGGGAACAAAGCGGGGCTTTCCCTAGGGGAGGGTCCGCGTTTCATCCCCCCCGTCCCCGCTCCTCAGCAGCGGCCCCGCCGCCCGCCCTCCGCGCCAGCCGCGGCGCTGTAGGGGCGACGAGCCGCCCCGCCCGGCCCCGGGCGCCAGCCGGGCCCCGCAGCGGGCGGCGCGTCCATGCGGCGGAGGGCAGGGCGGGGGCAGGGCGGCGGCCGCCGAGCTGCAGCCCGAGGGGACGCGGAGTGCGGCGGCGGCGCGGCGAGCCGGAGGGCGGCTTCGGGCAAGCTTGCTGGAGGAGGAGGAGGACTGGGGAGGACGGCCGGCTACGTTGCTTTACAGGTGCGAGCCGCGGCCCCCGGGGCCGGGGGCGGACCTCGCGGGCCGCCCAGGGGCCGGGGCGGGCGCGGGTGGGGCGGAGCTGCGGGGGGCCGGAGGACGCGGGGAGCCGGAGGGAGGGGCAGGGACGCCTCCCGGTAGACCAGGTTGCTCAAGGCCTCATGCAGCCTGGCCTTGAACGCCCCCGGCTTTGGGGCATCCACAACCTCTCTGGGCAACCTGTTCTATTGTCTCACCACCCTCACGGTAAAGAATTTCTTCCTATATCTAACCTAAATATACGTTGTTTCAGTCTGTACCCCTTACTCCTTGTCCCATCACTATACAATTCCTGACGGAAGTCCCTCTGTGGCTTCCCCGTAGGCCCCTTTTAGGTACTGGAAGGTTGCTGTGAGGTTTCCATGCATCTTTCTCTTCAGCCCCAGCCCGCTTGTCAACTTCGTGGCCCTCCCCTGGACTTGCTCCAACAGTTCCATGTCCTTGTTATGTTGGAACACCTTTACCTGTTTGTATACCGGTCTGTGTTATAGCCAATAGTGGCAATAATAGCAGCTGTTGGGAACAAGGATGTATTTCTGGACACGTGTTTGTTTGTGTGTGTGTGTCATCGTTTACGTAGCATTTTGTGCATTAATTAGAAACATTAAAACGACAAAAACATGTATTTACAGGGACAGGAAGGAATGGGCAGATATTGAACCTGTCCCTCAAAATGATGGGCCAAATCCTGTTGTTCAGATCATCTACAGTGAAAAATGTAAGTCTTAAGTATGTTCATCACTGAAAACTTCTACCCATAGCGTTGTTAAAGCAAGACTTCATGTTTTGGATAATATTTTCTACAATTGTGTTATGGTGGTTGCATGTGATGTTTTCACCAAGCTTCTCTGAAGGTGAATCTTCACCTGAGATGTTAATAGCCGAGGTACTCCTTTAAAATCCTATGGTTTAAGAGGTAACACAGCAGATAGTGTGGTTTTATGACATAAGGCATTTCCAGCCCACAAGTGAAAGTGGGATGTGAAACTCCTGCGCCTGGAGAAATAGGGTGAGTAGGCAGCATGGAACTTTTATGATTGTTTTGGATATTACTCAGATGGTGTATTTCTAACATACTTTTGCAGCTTTTCAGTGGGCTAGTGTCATGCAGAGGTTTTAGTCGAAAGTGCTGTCAGAGCAATATGTAGCTACTGTTTCAAAGAGGTATATTTCAAGTACACAAAACAAGAAATAACTTCAAAGGATTATTAACATTACCCTCTAATCAGGCCATTTGTAGTGGGTTTCTGTGGCTGGGTCTGATGGGTGGGGGGGCTACAGGGGTGGCTTCTGGTAGAAGCTGCCAGAAGCTTCCCCTGTCCAGTGGAGCCAATGCCAGCCGGCTCCAGGACGGGCTTCTTGCCGCTGGCCAAGGCTGAACCAAGGAGGAGTGACAGTAATGCCTCTGTGATAATATATTTAAGAAAAGAAGATTGTGGCACAGAAGGAATTCCAGCCAGGGAAGAGCAGAGTGAGAACATGGGAACAACAAGGTAGACACCAAGGGCAGTGCAGAAGGAGGGGCAGAAGGTGCTCCAGGCACTGGAACTGAGGCCCTGCAGCCCGTGGGGCAGAGCATGGTGGGGCAGAGGTGCCCCTGCAGCCCATGGATGAGCTCATGCTGGAGCAGGTGGATATCTGAAGGAGGAAGTGACCCCGTGGGAGGCCCAAGAGGGAGTGGGGTCCTGCTGGAGACCTGCAGCCCCTGGAGAGGGAAGCCCACACTGGAGCAGGTTTTTCCTGGGTAGGACTTGTGGCCCCTGTGGGGGTCCCATGTTGGGACAGCTCATTGGTGAAGGACTGACCCCATGGAGGAGTGACCCACGGGACAGCAGTTTGGGAAGAGCTGCTGCCTGAGGGATGGCAACAGTTCAAGGACTGTCTCCTGTGGAGGGACCCCACGGGAGCAGGGGAAGGACTCCTCTCCCTGAGAAGGACTCCTCTTCCCCAGCAGAAACAACAACTGACTGTAACCCCCATTCCTGTCCCCCTGTACCACTGGGGGGGAGGAGGGAGAACACAGAAGGAAGGAGGAGTGAGGGGAAGGTGTTTTTAAGGTTATTTTACTTCTCAGTCTTTTGCTCTGACCCTCTTAGTAATAAATTCACTTAACATCCCCACTTTGAGTCTGTTTTGCCTGTGAGGGCGATCAGTCAGTGACCTCTCCCAGCTGTTATCTCAGCTCATGAATCCTTAGCCGGTTTTTTTGTCTCTGCTCTGTCCGGTTGCAGAGGGGAGTGAGAGGGTGGCTTTAGTGGGTACCTGGCATCCAGCCAGGGTCAGCCCACTGCGCCGTTGTTTCACAGCCTTGGATAAGATGCTGTTATCTGTTTAGTTCGAGATGTCTACGATTACTTCCGGGCTGTTCTGCAGCGGGATGAGAGGAGCGAAAGAGCTTTCAAGCTAACAGCAGATGCCATTGAGTTAAACGCTGCAAACTACACAGTATGGTAGGTAATCACCTTGGGATTGTTTCTGTGGTCATTTGATTGCCTACCTCTTATGTCTTCAATATCTTATTAGTCCAATAAGGCCACGACCAGTTGAGTTTACACAGAGGAGTTTGTAGATTTCTGGTGAACTTCCAAAGAAAGCCTTTGTTCAGTATTTTCCGTGTCTCATTTTGATTCAGTGAGGTTTTTTGGCTTTGGGGATGTTATCAGTCAAGATCAAGGGTTGGCCACAAAAAGGACTTTGCAGTTTAAAATTATATCACTTATCTGATAATGTGGCCTTGGCAAAATGCTGAAGATACCCTCAGCTGACTTCAAGAAGAGGCATAAAAGCATGATAGCAAATAAGTTTATACTTACTAAATAGTGAATTTTAGAAGATCTGTCAGGTTACTGTTTAGATAGGTAATGAATAAACAGTGAATTTCTGATATTCAGAGTAGGTCCTCTTAACTCGCGAAAGCCAACAAGTGCCTCTTGTACATCTTTATTCCACTAACTTCCACAAAATCAGGAAGTTTACATTATTTTAAGCACAGAAGTCATAGTTTCTGTGGCAAAAAGACTAGTGTGTGTAGACATGTTAACTTGAAACAGCATTGCTAGAATCTTAGGTAACAAACTGTTGTAACCAGTCACGTTCCAGTTCTTCACTGTTCAAGAATTGAATGCCCTTCAACAGAACTAGATATATGGTTTAGGTTTTTGCACTGGTTTTAGTTTTTTCACTATTTTTAACTCGATATCTATTAGAAGAGCTGTGAACAAAGGTGGTTCTGCGTTCTCCTCCATGAATTTTAGGAAAGTCCTGTTGCAGTGTTCAAATGCTTGACTTTTATACAGGCATTTCCGGAGAGTCCTCCTGCAGTCTTTGGGAAAAGATCTCCACGAGGAACTTAAGTATATTACAGCTATCATTGAAGATCAGCCAAAGAACTACCAAGTCTGGTAAAACCGTGCAGTCTTTTCAGTTTGTAACATTTTTGCAATTAACTTTTGCTTTGTCAGTTGTCCATAAGCTGTGACCATTGGTCCTAAAAGTTATTAAGAGCTGCATTCTGGAGCTGCTGCAGTGGCAGTAGCAGAGGAGTTAAATAGAGTTGCATCACTTCAAAGTTCTCTTCAGCTATTCATTCTAAACATATGCTCATAACATGCTAAACAAATCTTGTTTTCTTGTTAATTTAAATTTTTAAACTGTCAAAATAAGTCTGACATGAAAAAAATGACTTGTGAAAAAGCAAACAAAGAGGCAAATAGAAATTAGTATTTTTTTTTTATTGTGTCTTGGAGTTTGCTTGCTTGTTGTTGGGTTTCTCCAAAGTGAATGGGAATAGGCAAAACAGCAATGTTGATATTGCTGGTGAAAATTATGTAGTACTAGAAGATTTTATTCTGCTAAAGATTTTGGCCATGAGTGTTAAAAGTGAAAATAGGTTACTTCAGGTGAACATTACTTGCCTAACATGAGATGTTTGGCCAATGTGTACGTGTAGGTAGAATTTACTGTAATAGAAGTAGACATCATACATTTCTCAGAGCCAAGTGACATGCTTTGGTGTGTTTAGTTTGAAATATTTAACTAGTGGGTTTTTTCCTGAGCAGAACAGTTGCCGTATGCTGCTTTAATACAGACCACACGTTCACAAAAAAATTTTAGTCTTTGTTCCTCTTGTCATCAGGCATCACAGACGAGTGTTGGTGGAGTGGCTGCAGGATCCATCCCAAGAGCTTGAGTTCATAGCTGACATTCTTAACCAAGATGCCAAAAACTACCATGCATGGCAACACAGACAGTGGGTTATTCAGGTATTGTATATCCACAGAACTCATTGGTTCCTTAAATAACCTGCTCAGGTTGTAGAGTTTCGCTTCTTAAATACAACCTGAATTGCATTTGGCACTTTGTTTCTTAAGGCTGAAGGGGGAAAAGCAACTGCATTTTTAGTGCGTGGTAGGGGTTAGCTGTGAACTTGCCTTTTAGGAAGTGAGGTCAAAAAGTTGCCCTGTTGTTTGCTTACTGTTATGTGTGTGAATTTAATGATGAGCTAATAACTTCTGAGTGCCACTGAATGGCGTAGCATGTTCTTAGTGCACCCTTATTTTTTTATTTTGAACTTTGTGTTGATTTCTTCAAGAAAAGTCTCTATATCTGATGTTCAGACAACTTAGGAGCAAGGATCATGTATTTAATTTTAAAAAGATAAAAACTTTTGATTGTGATTCCCTCTCTTCCTTCCCTTTCTATAGGAGTTCAAATTATGGGACAATGAACTGGAATATGTAGACCAGCTTTTGAGAGAAGATGTGAGAAACAACTCTGTTTGGAACCAACGACACTTTGTCATTTTCAACACCACTGGCTACGATGATCCAGCAGTCCTAGACAGAGAAGTCCGGTTAGTTATGCTATTCAGGCTCACATTAAGAGTTCTCCATTACATGGAAGCAAAGGAATACTTGGACAGTCTGCATGGGCTTGTGTTTCCTGTTTTTCATGCGCTTTTGAGGTTCACTGTCATGGGTAGCTGATCAAGTGTCAGACTGAAGCAAGCTCTGCTTACCCTGGGCAAGCTACTCTCATAAATCTGTTCTCCCAACCTGCTGTTTATTGTTCAAACAAAACTTTTGGCTTTTTATGATCAACTGACTACAGTGGGAAAACCTGCAGAAAATCCGTGACACTGGAACCACTTAAGTTGTGCCATTCATTAGTATCCTACCCCTAGAAAGCTTGGAATGACAGGCACTCTTTGTGTTGTACTAAATTGCTGTTTCAGTAGTACAGTAGCCACAATGATTTAAATGTAATGTGGACATGGATTGTAGAAAGAGCAGTTGCCTTTTGTGAGGAATTTGATGGAGCTGGAAAAAGAAAGGAGCTTTCAGGGGTATGTGGTTGGCACAAAGACAACTACCTCTCTGAGTTGGCTAGTTTTGAGGAAAATGAGCTCACTGTTTCTGAGTGGTATATTTCTAACTGAAGGCAAACTGGGCTTCTAGACATGTATTTTGCTACTCATGATGGTAAGAGAAGTTTTTTTTATATAGGTTTCGTATCTCGTCCTGCTGGTCAGGTTTATTAGTTACAAGAAGATATTTGTCTAATGTGGACAAGCAATCAAAATAAGGAACTGGAATATTTTGGAGTTATTCTTCAGAAGAAAGACTGAATTTCTGAATATGTCCATTAGTACATTTTTTAGGGGATCCCAGGCCTCACCACCTTTCATGGTTGTCTTTGCAACCTGCTGCAAGTTGTACTTCTCTACCAGTTTATAACTTTGAACTGTTTCCATGACTTAGACTTGGATATTTTCAACTTCTTCTCTTGAGAGGTTCGATGGGACATCCTCCCTTGATCTGTTCAAGATAATTGGATCCCATCTTAAGAACCAGACTGTCAAAGGTTTAAGACTTCACAGATATCATTATAGAACTGTAGTTGGGCTACTTGATGCTCAGTAAACTCAGTCTTTGTCCTAGTGACTGCAGAATGTTAAAAAATAGTTAGGATTTGGGGTATTCTTTTTCTGGTACACCTGATGTAACTTTTTGTCAGTATCTGCTGTCTCTGGAAATCGTTGGAATGCCTGGTTATACTGGGAAAGGGCAGAAGGTAAAGTCTGTTTGGTGGAGATGAAATGCGGCTTTGTGACTGTATGGGAGGTGCCTTTCCTTGCTTCACTTTTAGAGCAGTTGCCTCACTGCTGCTTTCAAAGAACTGTTGCAGAAGGCTGTGTGAGCTGAAAGCTCAAGCTCTGCCTTTCTATGGGTTTGCTTGAGTGCAGCCTCATGAAAAAGGTTCTGCAAATAGGTACAGAACATACCACTTGCAGTCGTACTAACATAGCTCACCCTGATCTTCAGTTACTCCAGCCTTTTTCAGCCCCTCACCATTTCTGAGCATCAAGACACAAGTTATTCCTTTAGCATATCAGGAGAGTATATTATGTTGTTTCTTAGTGTTATTGCTAATAATTTTGAGAACCAGCTAATTATTGTATAAAGCCCACCGAATTGAACACTTCAGATTTTAAAACAGCTTTCACAGTGTCTGCCTCTCTGAGACTTCTGATGATTATATTGTGAGCCATTTTTGATCTATGACCCAGCTGACATGATCTGCAAAAAGGCTGAAGTATAGACTAGAGGGATGTATTCGGAATCTTCTGAGCACTTCCAGGTAGTTTCTAACTGTATTGTTATTGGTTGCATTCATGACCTGTTCTCTTTTTCTTGCAGGTACACTCTTGAGATGATCAAAGCAGTGCCACATAATGAGAGTGCTTGGAACTATTTAAAAGGGTGAGGTCTATTTCTCTGTGAGGCAAAGAGAATATCTGTATAAGGTGTCTTATGCCTGCTTCTTAATTGAAGAGAACTTGTTGCTGTTCATCCTAGTGTAGTGTGCTTAAGCAAGCAGGCAAATACTGACACAAGGTGTTACTACATTAACCTCATTTCTCTGTAACTTTCCACTAGGCTTCTAACCCTGTAGTTCTTGTAGGAGGACTGCAGGTACTTCTGCTTTTAAAATCTTGACTGTAATGTTAGTAGGTTCAAGAGCATAGAGTAGGAATTAAGGAACATGCTTTCAGTCTAACTTCAGTTCAGTCGAGCATGAACTGTACTAGCTTATACAACATTAAGCTGTCCTAGTGCTGCATGCTGCTTACCTTCTGCCTTACTTGTATTTGCACCCTGATTTCAAAAACTGATCTCCAAGCAAAGGAGTCATAACAAAAATGCAATTATTCACACCAGATTCATGGTCAAGATCATGTGTCAAGCCTATTAACCTCTCTTCTAGGATTCTGCAGGATCGTGGTCTTTCTAAGTATCCAAATCTGTTAGAGGAACTGTTGAATTTACAGCCCAGTCATAGTTCACCCTATCTGATTGCCTTCCTCGTGGACATATATGAAGATATGCTTGAAAACCAGTGTGATAACAAGGAAGAAACACTGAACAAGGCATTGGAGGTACGTTTTGAGGGCTTGGTTTTGCTTCTCAGCAATGACATCTCTTGCTGTCTGGTTTTACTGCCTGACAAAATGGGGTTGATTTTAATAAAAAAAAGGTTACTTGCTAAAACCAATGGTCTCTGAAGAGTTGAACACAAAAGCCACACAATCACAAGGGTCTCATGAATTTAAATAATAACTCACCAGTTACAGAATCACTGTAAGTTTTCTTCGCCTGGTAGTAAAGGAAGATTTCTAATACTGCTTGCAGAAGAAAGAAGAGGTTTGAACAATTGGTTTCTAGTGTTAACTTTGTAGCATGAACTCACTCTCTTCTCTGTAGGTTAATGATTTTTTTCTCAGAGTATCTGTATCCAAACAATCTCAAACTCCTTTTGCCCTTCTTAGCTTTCTCTGAGAAAGCTGTCACAATTAGCTTATGGCCAGCAGGCACTGGGGACATCAGTAACAAACGTCAGGCACCATTTCCTACAGAGAATAAATTACTTCTAGCAATGTTGTTTATCTCCCAGTGCTTCATATTTGGGTACTCCTTGGTGCCGTTTGTAGTGTAATTTTTATTACACTTTTCGTTCACTGTGGGACAGACTGGAGCTTGATGTAATTTGAGCTGCAGTTTTGCCTGGTGTCTTTGTGTTCCAACATTATTCTTTCTCAACATTTCCCCTTTGTTGTGTTCTAGGAGGAGATTGTAACTAAGTGCAGCTGTACCTCCTAGATTTATGTCCCCTTTATACTATTTCACTGAATTTGATTTCTTCCTCTGTTTAGGCATCCAAGCTCCTAATTTCTCGATTCCATTTCACTGAGTAAGGCAATGTCATCTGCATATAAAAGAGAATTTACTAGAACCTTTGGAGACAGTGTTCATACCATGTAAAATATACAAAACCTATCCTGTGAGTAGGATATACATGACTGCTTACCCAAACCAAAATAAAAAAAATCCAAACAAACATGTAGCAATGTCTGTATAGCACCAGCTCTTAACATATCATGAGAGATGGTTACTGACTTGCATGGAGAGCCCTTTTGGGACAATCTGCTGAGAAAAAACAGAAACAGGATTTCTCCTGTCTGTCCATTAGGAGTACTGAAGATTCAAGAGCAGGATGATCCTCCAGTGTTTGGAATCAAGTGGTTTACACCTGTTGGATCACGAAAAGACGGTCAAGGTTCTCAGGAAATATATTGTGATATACTATAGGCTGAATAGGCTGGGGTGGATGACAAGTCCTAGGCATGGAAAGGAGTCACAAGGAAACTGTTGAGACTGAAATGGAACTGGAGGGATTTTTGTGCAGTGTCAGACTGGTTGACTACCATTTGGAGTTGTCATCAGTTTGATATTGTTCGACAGTTATAAATCCAGTGAATAAAACAAATACTGTTATTGACAAAGGTTTTTCTAATACTATCTGAAACATATATTGCATGCACTTTATAAAGACAAGGATTCTGTAAGCTTTTGGTATAACATTCCACTCTCTCTATTTTTCTTTCATAGTTGTGTGAAATTCTGGCTAAAGAAAAAGACACCATTCGAAAGGAATACTGGAGATACATTGGAAGGTCCCTTAAGAGCAAGCACAGTTCAGGCACTGAACAGACCAGCACACTGACAGATAAGCCACAGTAACTGAATATGGAAGAAAACAGTATTAAGCTCTCAAGCCGTTCTAAAGCAATACTAAGTAGAGTCATAAACTCGTTTAAAATCCTGTGTAGTATTCCCCCAGTGAGATGTTGCAATGAAAGAGGAGTGCAGAGTGCTGTATAGTCCTGGATCACTGCTGCTTCTGGTGATAGCTCTAGGTGCAGTCAAGAAATCACAGAATATGCTGAGTCGGAAGGAACCCACAAAGATCATCAAGTCCAACTCTTAGCTCTGCACAGGACCATCCCCAAGAGTCACACCATGTGCCATCATCGAAACACCTCTTGAACTCTGTCAGGCTTGGTGCTGTGACCACTGCCCTGGGGAGCCTGTTCTAGTGCCCAGCCACCCTCTGGGTGAAGAACCTTTTTCTGATATCCAAACTAAACCTCCCTGGGCACAGCTTCAGCCCATTCCCTTGGGTCCTGTCACTGGTCACCACAGAGCAGAGATCAGTGCCTGCCCCTCCTCTTCCCCTCATGAGAAAGTTGCAGGCTTCTCCCCTCAGTCTCCTCCCGGCTGAAGAACATTTGCCAGCTTCAAGTTGAGTTGTGGCTTCCCCAAGATCACTCAGAAATTATCGAGAAAGGTTTTGCAGTGACATCAGCCAGCTCTTTGAGGATTCTGGGATGAAACCTATAAGGCTCAATGGATTTGTAAGGATCCAGCTGGAGCAGCAGATCCCACACAATTTCAGGTTTGACTGGGAGTTGGTCATTCTGGCAGTCATGGTCCTCCCACTCAGGGCACTGAGCAGACCTCCCTTGGTCTGTCATGCGTGATGAACACAGGCAAAGAATGTGTTAAACAGCTTTGCCTTGTCTCTGCCCCTGTGTGTGAGGTGACCATCTAAGGCGTATTAATATAATACAAACCACATAGACCTGGCTAGTTTGGGGGTTCACAGGCAAATCCTCTTTATTCAAATCAGACATTACCTTATATATATGGGTTCAAAGTAACATGTCCCCTTGACCAGTCACCAAGGGCATCTCACTGCCCATGTGAGTGGGAGTACTTGTGATCTACATCTCCCTGGGTGCTGTTCAGCACCCTTCCTGAAACCCAGCTCCCCTCTTTATTATTATGAGGAAATACAGAACTTTGCATATAACAGTACATTTTAAACTGTTTAACCCTCTTTAACAATCAGCACTGCATCACAGTGACTCAGCTCACTGCCCACTTTGGTCTCTCAACAAACTTACTTATTTGAGCTTTTATCCTTGAAACTTGCTTGACATAAATTTGAACTTTTATTTCCTAAGGGTTTGTATGTATTTGGGATAAACAACAACTTTATTAACCTGAGGGTTTTTGCATAACCGGGTAAAACATTGACTTTCACTTCCCCAAGGGCTTGCGTGTAATTGGTAACCAGGAGAAATTCAACTCCATTTCAAGAAAAGGGCCCTTAGAGAGCAAGTGTTAGGTGATGCAAGTGTTGTTTGTTCAGGGCACATGAAGCATATACATGTCCACACAGCTTCTCTCATTCATTCGCACCAAGGTAGCTACCTTTTCCAATGTGCTTGCAACAAACGTGGGTAGAGCCCTTCCCAAATCTTCGTTCATGAAGCCTAGCCATGATGATGAGCTACCTTTTCACACTCATACATAAGTGGCCACTTCATTCATCTTCATTCATGCACACTTAGAATTTTTATTATGTCTCTATTTAAATCACGAAGCTTGGGTTTTTGTAGAGGTTATTAGTTGTATGTTTCTCAGTCTGTCACTTCTGGTAATCATGTCTGGCAGCTGTACCGGATCACATGTTTTAAGCACGCTTCCTCAAGCTGGGACGCTCAGCAAGCTGTCCGTGGGCAAGGTGGTGATTCCCAAGCTGTGGCGTGGCCACCACGTGGCTGCAGTGTGGCAGTGCCTCGTGGACTCAAGGTCTGTCTTTCCCTAACAGTCACACAGTCCGTGCCCCGTGCTCGCTCCTGCCTGTGTGAAACCCAGCCCAAGTCCTTTGTTAGGTCCTTTAGGTTTGCAAACCTCTGTCTGCACACGGTTCTACCCCACCCCCGTGTCTGCTCCTATGTTTGGTGGAGTCCTTTGTCTGTTAGGGCTCGTGGGGTGAACAAAAGGTTTAAAGTTTTGCTCCATGGACAAATCTGGGAGTTGTATGTGAGATTTTTAAAGTGTCCGCATCTTCTACCTCTGCTTTCTCTTGAGCAGTCTCCCCAAATTTTTTTTCAAGCAGTCACACCAAGGATTCTACTTAAAAGAATCCTGCATAGTTATTTCTGTCATTTTCTTTGAATTTTAACTTTCTATGCCGGCTGCTTACCTTGAGTTCTCTGTAGCTTTAGCTTTTCTCCTTTCAAAGCTTTGCTCTGCCAGGTCTCTCATGTGCACAATACTTAGATTCTCAGAGCTCCACACAGTCCTTTGCTACGCGATATCCCAGTCATCTTTTTGCACTGGTATTCCATGTCCTTTGTTTAATGACGTTTTCTGCCTGCTTTTAGCTCGGTTTACAATGTCTGACTTTTTTTCAGAGAAAAGCATTCCAAGTTTTTAAAACAAACTCATTCGAACGCTACTGTAATTCTCCTTGTTACAAGGCAGTCTCTAGTCATCCCCGATACAGGGTTGTGCCCCACGTTGGGCGCCAGATAAAGCATATTAATATAATACAAACCACACAGACCCGGCTAGTTTGGGGGTTCACAGCCGAATCCTCTTTATTCAAGTCAGACAACACCTTATATATATGGGTGCAAAGTAACATATGACTCCCTTGACCAGTCACCAAGGGCATCTCACTGCCCATGTGTGTGGGAGTACTTGGGAACTACATCTCCCTGGGTGCTTTTCAGCACCCTTTCTGAAACCCAACTCATACAACCATGCTCATCCTGTAACGGGCTGATGATATTTCTATACTGCCTATTGCCATTAATGTGTTGGGAAAAGCTTTTTATTGTCCCCCACATTTCTGGCACCTTCAACCTCAGAGCTTTGGCTATATGAATTTTCTCCCTACAGTGGCAAGGAGCATCTCTGAATTCTTTCTGTGTCACTTGACCTTGCTTCCACTGGGCATAGACTTTCCTCTTTTGCCTTATTTCTAAGAGAAGATCCCTGCTGCACTGAGCCAGCCTTCTGCCTCAGCTGGTTGACTTCCAGTGTTTGGGAATTGCTGCTCCTGTGCCCTTAGGAGGTGATGTTTGAAAAGTGACCAGCACTGATGGACCCCAGCACCTGCAAAAACATTTTCCCAGGGGACCTTACTTACTGATTCCCTGAGCAGCCTGAAGTCTGCTCTCCTCATGTCCAGAGTTGAGGGTTTACTGGCACTTTTCTTCCTGTCAAGGAGATTTTAAGTGATTTTAAACTCAATCACTTCATGGTCACTGTGGCCAAGAGGCCACCAGTCTCCATTTTAACGAGATCCACTCTGTGGACAAGCAGCAGATCAAGGAGGGCATCTTTCCAAGTCAGCTCCTTCAGGATCTGTTCCATAAAGTTGTCCAGGTTTTTTTAGGAATCTTTTGGCCCAGGTTGTATTCAGGCTTAATTATTGAAATGTACTGAGTAAAGGTTTTAGTTCCTACCTAAAAATACCTACGATTTTGGCAGTACTCAATTAATGGTTGGACTTGATATTAGAGGTTTTTTCCAAAATAAGCTATTCTGTGATTCTTTGAGGCACAAAAAAATTTCTCATGTCCTGGCTTACCCACTTGTGGTTCCTAACCCTGTCTCATCAGATGCAGTAATGACTGCAGTTAATTTAGCTGTAGTGGATATAAAGTAACATGGTTAGTGCAAGCAGGCCCTGCAGTTGTTGCCTTTTGTGGGAGCAGCTGTGCAACACTGTCAGCATAAGCTATTATATGCAACTAACTCCAAGTGTAATTTTATAATAAAAACATAACTTAAAGCATTTGTCTGAGTTTTTTTAGTGTGTTTATTTTGGTCTTCATGTGTGTGTAGTCTGTTCTTCTCAGATGCTAGTAGAGATAAAATATCCCCTTTCACGGACATTGGATTCTATCACTGTGAGGTGTCTTTTGCACTGAGTATTCTTAACCTGGAAACTTTCAGTTGAATACTTGATGTATTCAGTGGAGTCTTGAATTCTCATCTACACAGTCAGGAAAAAATCCTTTGAGGATCCTAGAAGATCTGCTTAGTTTTTTCTTGGAATTCTGTTCAGACGGCTGAAAATCTGATTTTTTTAATGTTTTTATTCACCCTTTGTAACCAGATCGAACTGAAGTCACAGGTCAGGAGATTAACTGGTAATGTTATGTATCTTCTCTGAACTGGAAGGGAAAGAATGGCTTTATTTGGGACCTCTTTGCATGAGATGTCTTAACCTTGTTGTACCTTTTCCTATCTTTCCCATGCATATATTCAGCCAAGGAGTATTTTTCCTCCCCTTTGTGAAGGATAGAAGGCACCTGCGGTACAGAACTGCGAAGGATGTCTATACCTGCACCAGAAAACCACATCTACTCTGTTTTCAGGAAAAAGTTATTGTAAACTGTGTTCTTATAGAGTGCTTGTCTGATATGAAACATTTCATTGGAATTGATCGTAAAGGGAACAAACAAATGCTGGTATTTATTCCATAATATAATCTGTCTTTCTGACATTAAACATTAAAAGCTGCTACTGTAATTCAACAGTAGTAGAGATTATTTTTAACATTTGAAATATGTTAATTCAATGCATTCTTTGCATGCTTTTTTTTTTTTTTGCATGTCTGGGGGGCTTTTAACACATTTGAAACTCCAACACAGAGAAAAAGTGTGTGTTTCTACCCCTATGAGTTGTCCCTAATTGAAGCTGTACTAAATACAGAGTACTGAACAGACAGGGTGCTCAAGGTCTTCAGGACAAAGTAATGTATTTACCACTACCAGTCAAGAAAGCTCAGAAATACAACAGTGAAATGCAGTCTTTAAAATAAACATCAGTGGGGAGGGAACAGAATTGTTCCTCCGTATATGGTGTTCCCGTGTCTTTCACAAACAGGATTCAGAGGACACTTGGAATAAAGCAGAGTATTCTTTGTAGACACTTGCATGAATTTCAGCAAGAATAACTCATCCCAATGTAGGATTGATGAACGGTGTCCACTGGGACAGTGTATTTTGGAATGTGACCTCTTAGTCACTCGTGGTCTGAGGGAAGAGCTTAGGTTTAGTCCTGTAATCTTCTGTATCAAGAACAGTAGGATTCCTCCAACAAAATGCTTTGTTGGGGTGTGGTCATCTTATGGCCTTATTCTTGAAAATGACGTCGAAG